CGGACAGTTGACGATGTGTCGCGGCCCACGTTCGCCATCCACGGCCCCGTTTCCACCCCCGCCGCCCGCCACAAAGCGGACGCATACACTGACGGCCGGTCGCTTGCACGGTGAGCTGAACTCAGCCCCCGTGGGGGTTGGTTGGTTGGTGCCCCCTTTCTCTGTCCGTCTCTCTCGCTCCCTCCCTCTTTCCGTTCGTTCGTTCCTTCTCTTCATCTCTCCCTCTCTCTCTCTCTCTTACCCTCTCTCCCCCACCCCCCTCTCTCACGAGCGCGCGGTTCGCCTAGATACTAGGGGTGGCCGGGGGATCGAGAGGGACGGGGTGGCGCTGCCGCTGCTGCTGCTCGGTATAAGCCAGTGCGCGTCAATAACCGTCCATCAGATGTAATAGCTCCCCGAGACACATCGGTTGCATTTAAATGGCTGCTTAGCCGACTCTGTCTCGACGCCGACGTGGATCTATGGAATTCCATCAAGCTCCACGGGATCCCTTATCGTCCTAACCGGGTCGTCGCGTCTCGGTCCAAGCACCCCCCAGACCCAAGCCTCTCTCCCCCGCCCGCTCCTCCTTCGTTCCCCGGGTTGCTACTGCGATTTTCTTTGCTGTTCCTAAGGAACGCGCGCGTTCGCGGTTGCTTTCTTTCCCCCCGAGAGAAAGAGAGAGGGAGTGGGTTGTGAAAAGGGGGTGGGACGCGGAGAGAGGGGGGAAAAGTCGTTCTACCATTTCTGCTTGCGCCCGTTTCTTCCGAACTGGAGGTTCCTTTGTCGAGCCACTGGACATTCCGAGGGGAGGAAATTTGATCGACATTCTACCTCCGGCGCGATTTCTTTCGGATTATCCGCGCCGCTCGACGAACGATCAATTTCGATGTATTGGTGAGCGGCCGAAGAGTGCGCAAGTGTATCCCATGTTTTTGAGCACTCGCGCTGCGCGATCGAAACTGAATCGTATTCATTAAAATGGAGAAAGAAAGAGAGAGGAGGGCGTAAAATCCGCTTTACTTTTGACGATAAAGCACGAAGTATTATTCGATCTCGCGTTCTTTTTCGCGGACACAATTAAGAACTCGGGGGAGCTAATTCAGGAGATGCGCCGTCGCGAAGTTTACTTTTAATTCTTCGCATTCTCGCGAGGCGTGACATCGAGCGTCCTTGAGTTCCGGTGGTCGCTTTTTCCCCGAGATCGAAGAGTCACGAAGCAGAGGGTCGGAGTCAGGGTAACAACCGGCGGCACGGGTTAAACCCGCTGACTGCGAGGTTCCTTGATTGGCTCCATCCGCAGACCTACGTGCTCGTCACAACAGTTCATTCCGGGGGCGCAGCCCTGCACCCCAGCTCTCTGCGTCGCTCGCCCTCGTCGTCCCGAAATATCGGAATTTCCAAGTGAAACACTCCCTCCTCTTTCCGCGGCTCGCGCGCGCCATGAGAGTTTAAACTGCTAAATGGTTTCCTAACGCGGAAACGATCGGTGTTGTCGAGTTCATTATCGTCCGTCGAGTCGGGGGGAGATACGCGGCCGGAGTTTCTGCGGGTGATTATTTATCATATTCCCCTTGACACGGCAAATTTTTGGTAACGAAACTAAATTATAAAATATCGTAAAAAGATTCGAGGCCGCGAATTTGTTCATGATGTTCGTTTAAAAGCTTAATTTTTAATATTCGGGCGCACAAGCGTTTGATATGAATTTTAATATTTCATATAATATCGCGTTTTATATGTTCGTTTTTTATACATTCCGTCCATACGTATATATATATACACATGTGTGCATATAAATATATTTTTATACCGACGGAGGGTGTGATGAGAACTTTGCTGATATTTCAATAACGGAGATATGTACGAATTTTATTAGCGAATGTACTATTCATAAAGTAATAAACTACGTATGCACCCAGGTTAAACGTACGCTCTCTCTCCAAATCACGTTTGCATTTCCCCGACTAAAAACTTATTCCACTCCGGGTCTCTTTCGGGGCATGAGGTGTATAATGTCGCGGAAAACTCGAGCCCCGCGACTAGAAACACATCTACCACACGCTGGATGCGCGCGCGCGTACTCGAAAAACACAAATTTGCATACCGCAAACGCAGAGGAGGTTGTATATTCATCAAAGCGGGCGCGGAAGGCTCAACGATCGGAGTGATCCGCGTATGAGCGATACGAGATTATTCTGGTGAGATTCGCGCGACAATTTACGGCGGCGTAGTTACGCGCGAAGCGAGAGCAAGGGGACGTTACATCCAATCCTGTTCGAATTCACGAGGGAGGCTCTCTCTCTCTCTTTCTCCCTTCCCCTCTCCCTTTCCCTCGCAAGGATCGGCCGGGCGCTTCGCAATCCGCGGAACTTGGTGGTCGCGCCGGGCGAGAACTCGTTCATCCGGACGACGCGACGCCCGCGAAACCGGGCGACTACTTTCGCGTTATTGCTCAATGTATAATAATTTGGGGGCAGCCCAGCGACGGGNAGCCGCCATGCAGATCCTTTTGCCTGTAGCCACCCCTCCCCCCGGCCGCGGCATCGTTCTGCGGAGGGTCGTCGAGGTGGCGGCGCGGCCGGGGGGAGGGGTGGCTACAGGCAAAAGGATCTGCATGGCGGCTCCACCGCGTCGCAAATCACTTAAACTGCGGCTGGAGCTACGCGAGGGCGAGCTCGACTCCGGGAGGGGGAGGGCGGGTTGGATGGTCGAGGATGGAGGAGGCGAGGGAGGACGTGGGTGGAAGAGGCAGAGGAGGAGGGTGATTATAAGACCGCTCGGGGTTGCTGGCTAGCGAGGTAGTACCATCCGTTATGACTATAAATCTAAGATAACAATAACGTCCCCCGCGCGCCCTCCACGCATCCCCTTCGCTCTTTCTCGCTCGCGCCCTAGTCCGCTGGTCTATCTTTCACCCCTTTGCACCCGCGGCCCCCGCGCGACTCTACCCATCCTCGCCCGCTCTGAACCCCTTTGCCTCTCCTCTCTCGTTTGTCCGGCGGGCATTAATGCCCGCCTGCGCCGAGCTGCTCACCGGCCATTCGACGCACGTGTCCCGGCCGCCCGCTCGTGCAGTAGCACACACGCGTCATCGTATCGACATTAACGCCACGACATGTTCACCGTTACGTCGGCCAACGTGCCGACAGAGACGGGAGTTCGTACACGGAATCAGACCCGGGCCTGATTAGGAGAGCTCCTTTCGCCGAGACTCGAAACCGTCGAGACAAGTGCGAGTGTCGAGTGCAGGAACGCGTGGCGATTTTAACTCCGAAACAATTCCGTCCGAGGTGTCTATAATGGGGGGCTACGAATGACTCTCCGGATTTACAGGATGTCCTTTCGTGAAATTTCGGATAAGCAAGAAAGAGGAGGGGGGGTTGGATCGAGAGCAAGTTCTTTGTACGGGGAAATCTGAAATTCGACATGGTGCGTCGGATGGGCACTCCCCGCGTGTACACACGCAGGCAAATCATTTTACACAAGGACGAGAAGAAATATAATGGAAAATATCAGCAGACGGGGCTTTTAAGCTGTGTTGCTCTCCGACAAATATCAATGATACAGCGTGTCATAACTTGTTTAATAAATTATGAATGTTATGAAACAGCGTGACAACAACAGTATGTTCTCTGAATGACGTAAATATTAATAATAATAATAATAATAATATGGATATTGTATCAACTCAAAGGGATATCAATGCGTTCGGATCGACATCAAAACGGAGGCAAAACGAAATAATGCTTTAGATGACGCGTTAATTTTACGCGGTTATTATTAAGGTTTGCCGTTGTCGCTCCCCTCCCTCCCCGCCCGCTCTTCGCGCAGTAGAGCGGAAATATATCGGGGTTGATTCATGGGGCGCACTTAATTCGCGATTGTTAGAAGGCTAATCTTCGTCGTATTAGGAGGGACTGTATCGCATCGCGTACGTTTCGGGCCGCATTAAATTCGTTTGAACTGATGTACGTGCACAGTGTGCCCGGCCATTTGCGCGCAACGCACCTGTAAATTTATTGATATTAGAGGCAATGAGCGCTACAGCTGGTGCTGACCGAACCGAACGCAAGCCGAAGCATTATTTCGATAAACGCTGGGAAGAAGCGCGGCCCATATTGTATCACCGATGCAATAAATAAAAGATAATGTAAGCTTCGTAACGCGAGCTCAAATATAAGCCGTATAAACGATAGCCGCGGCTAGCGCAGTTCTGTGTCCCCGAGCTATTTATCGAGGTTACTTATTTCGCACTTGTCGGAACACGGGGGAATCGCGAGCGTCGAGGACGCGCTCGGGGTGAGGCAGCGCGAATTGTGCATTTTTATTTTTAAAAGCTAACCCTGCAAAATCGTCCCTTCGGTCTTTATATTTCCTTCGAGTAGCTGTCTAAAATCTCGCACTGTCGAAATATGCAATTTACGCATGGTGACTGTTTTCACCGGCGATTAATGGGATTTAAGTTGAGTGGTCCGTCAAACCATTCTCTTAATAATTCTTTTAAATCTTATATGTATATATTATATGTATATATATTATCTGTATATCGATGGAAATCTGGTCTACACTGATAGAAAATTATAGTTATTTTCGATGCCATATTTTCGTTTCGTTTTGAAAATATAACCACAGGGGATTCACAATTTATAGTAATACCTGCGATACACGTACACATATTTAAATATTGATATACCACTTTCCATTATGTGTGTACTTCTATTGGTTCAACCGATGTATAAATAAAGCATTAATAAGGAAACTAAAGAAACAAATATCTCCTTGTTTGTAATATTGCGTGTATATTTCCCTTAATTTCGTCAAAAATTCACGTTTATTACCGAGATAGATAAAGTTGTAAGAATTGTTTTCAATAAATAATAAACTTATGAAAGGGCCTCTTAATATCATCACTGAAAATCCGGCGCTCTACGGACTAACTACCTTAACATGCGGTCTAAGCATAGCATGTATTACGTAATAGAACACTTTATGAGCATTTGAATTATGCACTCACCGACCTGCGTAGATACTCGATGTCCAGCCTCGTCCTGCGTCCTCCGATGAGAGGATGTCCGTCGAATTTTCTCAGCATCAATTGTCCCACGCGTCAGTCTTTTCTTTCTCACTTCATACTTCACTCGCGACACGACCGTCTCAATTGACGTTTAACGACCTGAAACGAAAAATACACGACAAATTTCAAAGCGAATTGTTTTACTCGCGAGTCGCGCGGAAAAAAATCGCAAACGAGAGAGCGTGCTCTGGTATCACGTATCCCACCACGCTGGTCGTTTACCTCACTTACGACGGACAAGTTAGAGGGACAAGTGCAGCACGTAAACAAACGTAGTGCGCCGACGCGAGAGCAAGTGCCCAGCGTTCGCGGCGGCGAGCCGAAACCTGATGTCGACGCCGCGGCTTTAAACCGCTGTAACTCGCTAACGAGTCGACGTAGCGACACGAAATAAAAAGCACCCTCTTTGTCACGCACGTTTTGACACGCGTCTATGTCACTTTTTCATTACCCATTTGAAAATATCGACCGTCGTGATCGATTAAAGCGCGGCGAACACGCCTGCACCGAGCGACGCGCAGCCTCTCTCATCCGCGATAGAATCAGTTCAGATTCCTTTCTTCGTCACGTCTAACGATGTTAGACGTCTCGTTGTAGTAATGATGAGATTAATGTTGTTACCATGAACCAAACTAAAGGAATAATCCACAAGATATTTTCAATGTTTCCAAATTATACACAGTAGAAAAATTGTGTGTAAATAATAGTCCACTGAAATTTTCGCATTACTTCAACATGGGAATACGTTGAAAAGTACACAGATATATGTTAAATTAATATATTCGCCCTGTTAACATATTACTTTTTAACACGTTCACCTTGTTAAAGTAATACAAAAATATCAGTGGACTTGAATTATTTCAACAAAATTTTTTACCGCGTACAATTATACGCAGACAAACTTTACGATTCGGACGATACGTTTTAATTTGTTACATGCCAGTGAACATTTTTAAGAGACACGTACCAATAAAATCGGGAGGGAGGGGAGGAGTTCGGGAGATTAACGACGTGTCGGTGAAATTGACGCGAAGCTACGAGTCACCTGTCCGCGGATTCAGTTTCGCGTCTCTCACCCACCGGTATACCCCCGCGGCCTCGCGATCCTCTCGCGAAGGAGGAGCGCGATATTTCGCCGCCTGAGTTCGCGGCGCGATAACGCTGCTGATTTAACGTTTACGTCGACAACGCTTTTAATTGGGCTTATTGCCGTAAACAGCGTGCGCGTTAATGAAAAGTACCACGGCGCGGCATTACTATTCGGTACATTAAGTCGCCAAATGAAATTCACAATCGATGACCGCGCTGGACCGTCGGCGAAAGAGTAATAATGCATCGCGATAAATATGTATACGAGTTTATCGTAATAATGAGTTCACTGATTCCTGGCACAGAGGGAGAGAAATACAGAGGTAGGCGGGATTGGCCTGCAGGACGGCGTGGCGGGTGGCCGTGGGAGGAAGCGGGGCTGCCGGGGGTGGCGGTCGAAGTTGGGTTATTTTATTGGGAATTTTGGCGAGTCGTCGCTCGAATTTGCGAATCGCGCCTGTTCGATAGCTTTCAAAGGTAAATTAATATCGCGCCATGAACACGTGCCCATCCGATGCACTGATGAGCTTAATGAGAACGGAAGTAAAGAGCCGTGGATAAATGTTACTTTGATCAAGCACTAATTGGGCTTGCGGGCTAAACTCTAATTGTCCGTGAGCTCAAAAGGCAGCGGGCGCGGAGGATATTTCGACGAATTGATTTTGGCAGAAATAATTTCGGCCGATATACTCGCGCGCGCATAGGCCGGCCGCCGCCGTTTATGCCGTTTGCGAGACACAGGGGTTAATCCGTGGGATGAGGCGGAAAGGTCGGGCGGACAGAACGGTGGGTGCAACGTGTCCGTCCAGCAATAAGGAAAATGTAGGAATGAAGAGCCGTTTGGCTACATCTGCTGCTAAGTCGTCCATCACGTCCGCTCTCTACCGGGGCCAGCTAATACACGTATAATTACTCCTTTCTAAGATTTATTTTAATTAGCCCCTATATCTTCTCTAACGACCAGCGCTCTGATTTAGCACAAACTGTTTCATCCCTACCTAACGGCGCGGTGTAACGTCTCTAGCGGCGCGAGAGACCCTTTTACGACTTCAATCCCCCTTTAGTCCGCTAAACTGGCGATCTTGTTGTGTGTATCGAGCGATACATATTAAAAACTCGGACGACACGCGTTCTCGGGCAAGGTCGAAGCGATAACGCTCGTGTCACGACACGATTGCCTAGCCTTTTCTTTAATCAAACCCAACGTGCATAATTTCTACGCATGCGATGGGAACTCGTTACGCGCTGAACACTCTCTGTGTCGATCTTATAAATTAATTTTCCGCTTCTGCTCGCAAATGTCCGAAAAAGCGGTTGAATTTTTTCAATAAAGCTTTGCCGAAACGATTCCACCCGTTTGATTACATTTTATCCCCGGTAATATTGCATTTCCATAAAAATTTGTCGGAAACGTTACACGGACGCGTTGTATAAATTTGTTTCGCGAGGTAAACGGTTTACCGTCATTTTTGCGCGCACGCGCCTCTAATAATAATGGCGATTGCAAAAGTGAGCGAGTTAACAGTCGTTAGCCGCGCCGAGGAACTCGGCGGATTAATAGCGTTGGTTATTCGCGAGCGGTGTGCGATGCGGTGCGCGATTAAGTCGCGGCGGAGCGCGATCGGTGCTCCTAAGGGTCGCACTAAATCAGCCTCTGACGTCCCGGCCCGGTCTTAGCTCGGTTTTCGCCGGTAATATTGTTATCATTAGTGATTAGGAGCGGCCGTCGGCGGCGAGGGTGCGAGTTAACCAAGAAGACGGAGAAGGGCGCGCGCGCGAGGAGAGGAGGCTCTCTTCGTTAGCCGTGCTCGTTGGGTGGCGCGGCCCGCTCGCTCCATTAACCCGTTCATAGGCGATCCAGCGTCGTGGCGTCGTCTCACACCCCCGTAAGCCGCTAGTAAATCACCTCCGACGCCCGCCGCCACCCCCCACTCGGAGCTCTTCCTCCGCCGCCTCAGAAACCGTGGCGGCGGGCGCAAACCCGAAACTCAAGCCAAACATACGAACAACCAACGTCGCGCGAGGGGGTGTAAGATCGCCTGCGAATCCGTAATCGCCGTAAACCTGAGGACTTAGGCGGTCGGGATCGCGGATTCGCTATCTGCATGCACATACACACACACACGGATTCGCACTCCGAAATGCGAGTGCAGGTGCGTGTATGTGAGGAAGCGAGAGAGAGAGAAAGAGAGAACTCCTCGCGCGTATAAACCGAGAACATACGAGGGTGGGACGTGGGGATGGGAAAGAGAGGGAGACTGAGAGATAGAAGGCGAACGAGGGAAGGACATCGGCGGCGGTCGCCTCTAGCCTAAATCTATATTTCCACCACCCATATTCCGTATCTGTTCATCTGGTGCCGGCAACCTAACCGTGGCAGAAGCGTTTCGCGCCACCTTACCCCTTTCGTCCCGTTTCGTCCCGTCTCGTGGCATCGCGCGTAAGAGCAAGGGAACGAGCGAGATAGATAGAAAGAGAGAGAGAGAGAGAGAGCTCTGCCTCTCCGTGCTTCCGAACAACTACCGACGCCTCGAACTCCCCCCCTCGCCCCTTTTGCCATCCTCCCTCCGCCGCTAAGCGACAAATCCTCGCGGTGCTCCTACGGACCGGTACAGCGCGACGGCACGAGCACATTTCCCTGAAATACGACGTCCCCGGGAGCATAAACGCCGTTACTATTCCCACAAGTTGTAACTGGTGTTAATTATTGACTTGATATATATATGTATATGTATATATATATATATATATATATATATATATATATATATATATATATATATATATATATACATATACATATATATATATGCTGAGCCAGCGGAGCGACCGTGGACGCGCGGGGGCGAACGGGTGGGCACCCACGGCTCGGGGTGAATTTGCGCAAGCGGAGTTATTCGCGTGCGACGCTCCCTGCCGATATCTGATTATCGTCCGTCTTTGCCGTGATAGTGCAAATAATTAAACGTCCCGCGGCTTCCCCTGCGTTTATATTCGCGTGAGATTGGGCGCACTCCCACGTACACGGCGAAGGGAAGTCGATTCCGGGGCTTCACGGACTGCTTCTTACTTACAGTCAGCGTCATCGAAACCCGCTCGAGACCCCGGCCCCTATTCTTGAAGTATTTGCATACACGTGTCACCGTGTAGGTATTGCGTCATAAAATTGTGTCATAAAATTTGCTGCGCAACGACAGCGTATACGCAACCATTGTAAGAACAAGGGCTTCGAATTGCGCCGTTTGTACGGAACTGTGGGCGCAAAGAAAAGCAAAGGTAGTTTATACTTAAGTTGCGTATGTACTATCTAAAGTGCAATCAGTGTATTATCTTAATCCCACTCTTGAAGTATCGTCAATGATTTTCCCTGAAATATTCTTATATAATTCGGTTAAATTAATTTAATTTATATTTGAATTTAATTTGTATTTGAAAGATACGCTTATCCCGATGGAACTCGAACTCTCGAAATCTGTAGTTCTTGAGTCTGCTGTCATACAAACAACACTAAATATGACATATGATTGAATGCATATGCGATATATATGTACATATATTTCCGCTACGGGAAGTAGCGTAACGATGTGCAGTGAATCTTTCACTGGCGAAAATCAGTGAAGTATTGGACAAAAGAGCTAAGTGGAGGAGTTTCCACTAAAAATGAATGAATACTCATTAATTACCGATAGAATATTATTTCGCTGATTCAATTAATGACATTCTCGATGATGCGACTTAAGAGAATAATCTACTATTAATAACGTAATAAAGGAGAGAAATTCCATCGGGTAAATTGGGTACGAATTGGGCGTTTTAAAGAATAACGTAATCCTCGATCCTCACGAACGAAATGTACTATCCGCCTTTAACTGCTTTCTTCGCGGACATTCTCCGTCCGATCCTTTTTAGAGCCCTCCTCTTTTTACGCACGGTAAATTTCCCGTGGGTCGCGTGGGACGGATGCCTGAGTTTACCCCCACGATGACGCCGCAGAAGCCGCGCGACAGTCC